ACTAATCATGGCTTTACTGTTCTCGAGATTTTTTCTTTTAGCTTTGATCACCCATTGTTGCCCCATCCTACCCCTGGGGGCCATGATTTGAACAAATTTAAATCTACACTACCTGAGGATGCTTCCATACACATGTATATAATGACTTATAATGACTTTGCTACTCTTGAAAAGATTTTTCCTGTATATTCCTATGTAAAACTTTGATTGCCGAATGTGGCCTCATCCAATCCTAAAGGGTTGTGATTTGCAAACTTGAATTGCCTGATTTTTTTTTCTATAATCTTCAGTGTTCCACTTTTTTTATGAAGTTTCATCTACATATATGACACAGTAAGAAAAATGTTACAATGTTATGGATGTACCGTATAGTGGGTTTCTTTAGCATGTGTAAAATTTGGCGTTTTGCTTGCTCAAAGGTATGCCAATAATTTTGGCGAACACAGAATACCATGACGTTGAAAAAGATAGGAAATTCATCTTCTAGATGAGTTTTCAGTACGTTTAATATATGTTTGAATACAAATTTAGGCAAGACTTAAAGTAACAAGAGGCCCAAGGGCCTTAACGGTCACCTGAGTATAATACAACAACTTCAAAGTTAAATACACTGATAGATGAAGCAATGTGCCCTAAAGCAGGAGAAGTAGGAAGATCAGGATCAACAAAATAATTAGTCTAGTATTCAGTATCAACTCATAAATTAAGTTCTAATCTGTCCCCCACTTAACACTATCACCATGCAGACTATTGACAAACTATTAGCGCTTCTGTACTATTTTTAAATCCATATTAAGACCTCTAGCATTGACCTCTCTTATGGTCTTTGAAGAACTTTTAATAGGATAAGTTATTTTTGTCTCATTTTTATTTATCTATTACTTACAGGTCTACCTGATTATTAAAACTAAGAAAGTACTTTTTTAATTATACGATAAACATTCTTGCATAATTATCTTATTCTATTAACATTTCAAATACATTATTTACAGTGATTAATTATCAAAGGTGAATGGAAAAGGGGAATAACTTCTCTCAGTAGAATACAAATTAATAGAGCCCTGCCCAGGACCAGAATGCTTAGACGAATGGTCCAGATGTTTAAAAATCTGGTAGAAATACACTTACTCATATCATTTAAACTTTTACTCAGTTTGCTTCCGATATGCCCAGAAGCAGAGAAGAATTTCACAGGTACAATGCATTTTCACTACAGATTCAACAAAGCCTTACCCTAACACCAGAACCCAAGACCAAGGGTCAAGAAATTTACAAATTTGGAAGAGTTACCCTCATCATCATAACTATGGACTTCAAAGAATTAACACTTTTCCACTATATTATCAAAAGCCCCCCCCCCCCCCCCCCTCGTTATGCCAGAACCCCTGACCCTAGGACCACAAGATTTAAAAATTCTGTTCAAAGCTCCCATTTTCATCATAGCTAAGCAATGTATTTATCAGCTCAACACTAAGGAGCAGACAGGATTAATTAATGATTAATTAATAGAATTAATGCTTTTTCACTATATAATCAAGAGCCCCCCCCCCTCCTCAAGAACCCCAAAAACTGAGGCCATATATTTAAAAATTTTGGAAGAGGCATCCTTGTCTATCATAATCATGCACTTAGTTTGTTTAAATAATCTCCAGTAGCAGAGAAGAAGATTTTCAAAGAATCAATGCATTTTCACTATATACCCTCGGTAATCAATAGAGCCCCACCCTAACACCAGAACCCCTGACCCTGGGGCCATGAAATTCACAATTTTGGAAAAGGCATCCTTATGCATCATAACCATGCACTTAGTTTGTTTAAATAGTCTCCAGTAGCAGAGAAGAAGATTTTCAAAGAATCAATGCACTTTCACTATATAATCAATAGAGCCCCGCCCTAACACCAGAAACCCTGACCCTGGGGCCATGAATTTCACAATTTTGGAAGAGGCAGTCTTGCTCATCATAACTATGTACTTAGTAACTTTATTTAATACCCAGGAGCAGAGAAGAAGATTTTCAAAGAATTAAAGCATTTTCACTATATAATCAATAGAGCCCCACCCTAACACCAGAACCCCTGACCCAGGGGCCATGGCTTTCACAATTCTGGAAGAGGCCCACCTCCTCATCATAACTATGTACTTAGTTTATCACCTTAATGCCCAGGAGCAGAGGAGAAGATTTTCAAAGAAATAATGCATTTTCACTATATAGTTGATAGAGCCCCGCCCTAACACCAGAACCCCTGACCCTGGGGCCATGAATTTCACAATTTTGGAAAAGGTACTCTTGCTCATTATAACTATGTACTTAGTAACTTTATTAAATATCCAGAAGCAGAGAAGAAGATTTTCAATGAATTAATGCATTTTCACTATAAAATCAATAGAGCCCCGCCCTAACACCAGAACCCTGACCCTGGGGCCATGAATTTCACAATTTTGAAAAGGCACTTTTGCTCATCATACCTATGTACTTAGTTACTTTATTTAATACCCAGGAGCAGAGAAGAAGATTTTCAATGAATTAATGCTTTTTCCCTATATAATCTATAGAGCCCCTCCCTAACACCAGAACCCCTGATCCTGGGGCCATGAATTTCACAATTTTGGAAGAGGCACTCTTGCTCATCATAACTATGTACTTAGTTCTTTTATTTAATACCCAGGAGCAGAGCAGAAGATTTTCAAAAAATTAATGCATTTTCACTATATAATCTATAGAGCCACGCCCTAACACCAGAACCCCTGACCCTGGGGCCATGAAATTCACAATTTTGGAAGAGGCACTCTTGCTCATCATAACTATGTACTTAGTAACTTTATTTAATACCCAGGAGCAGAGAAGAAGATTTTCAAAGAATTAATGCATTTTACTATATAATCAATAGAGCCCCGCCCTAACACCAGAACCCCTGACCCTGGGGCCATGAATTTCACAATTTTGGAAGAGGCAGTCTTGCTCATCATAACTATGTACTTAGTAACTTTATTTAATACCCAGGAGCAGAGAAGAAGATTTTCAAAGAAATAATGCACTTTCACTATATGATCTATATAGCCCCACCCTGGGGCCAGAACCCCTGATCCTGGGGCCATGAATTTCACAATTTTGGTAGAGGGCTCAATGCTTATTACAATCATGCCAACAGTTTGACTGCTTGATGTCCAGGAGTAAAGAAGAAGATTTTTAAAGATTGCATTATTTTTGGTGGTTTTAGCCCCACCCCTCAGGCCCCAGGGGGGCAGGGACCATGAAATTCACAATTTTTGTTCCCCTTCACCTATAGATGCTATATACCAAATTTGGTTGAAATTGGTTGAGCGGTTCTAGAGAAGAAGTTAAAAATGTTCAAAAGTTAACGCACGACGAACGACGCACGACAACGGACGAAAACAGATAGCAATAGGTCACCTGAGTGACTCAGGTGACCTAAAAACCAATACCAGATTAAAGGTAAATTGTTTAACAACAGACTGATCAAATTTATCTTTCTTCTCTTCAGTACTTATATGCAAGGGTGCAAATTTAGTGATTAAAATTTTATAGGTGTATTTTAAAACCGCTAAAATAAGCCAAAGTTAGCACTCTGCTAAAAATTCCCGCTATACAGTGTGTGCCTGCACAATGGAATTATTTTTTTCCATAAACAGCATTTAAATGAACCGGCACATGCACTTCATGCATGAAGTGACAACTAAGAAATATTTTAAGCTTCTTCTAGTGAATCCATAATTTCCTACTCCCAATTGATTTCCATTTGCTAGTACAGTAAAACACGCTTATAGGGAAAACGGGCTTATAAAGAATCCATGCTCTAAGGGAAGTGAATTTCATTCCCTTTGGCTTTAAATGTGCTTAGACACAGATTTGAACTTAATATTTTCTCAAATTTTCTGTATAATATCACGACTTATATATTGCAATAGCATTTCACACAAAAATGTAATTAAAAACTTATTTTATCTGGAAATTATTGGAACTACGAGACGCATTTGATTAGCACATCTTTGCACTTACACAAATTTTAACTTTATCCTTAATACATGTATTTAAGAAAAGAAGCGATTTTGTTCTGTATTAATCTATAGTCCAGAAAATTCATAGTAGAAATGTTCGAAAGCAAAACCAACTCACCAGTATTGTCAGTCCGTGCTCTGTGATGTGTACAGAGTTTAACAAATTGAACACACCCGTGAAACGTGAACTGTTTTTGTAAACAGGGCACAACCTCTGTTATTGTTACTGTTTACGATTCACCGGGTGTGTTCAATTGTTAAACTCTGCACACACCACTGAGCACGGACTTACAATACTGTGAGTAGGTTTTGCTTTCGAATATTTCTACTCTGAATTTTCTGGGTTATAGTTTTAATATTTTTCATTAATACACAACAAAATTGCCACTTTTCTTAAGTATTAAGAATAAAATTAAAATATGTGAAAGTGCAAGGATGTTTCAATCCAACGCGTCCAGAAATTTGAAGTTTTAATAACTTCGAGATGAAATAAGATTTTTGTTATATTTTAGTATGAAATGCTATAGCAAAATATAAGTCATGAAATTTTACAGAAAATTTGAGAAAAAATTAACTTCAAATCTGAGTCCAAGCACCTTTAAAATATATTGTGAACTTCACAGATATAATGAATAACGTTTATAACAAAGCAAAATCATCCATCCCTGGCAGTTCATTACAACTAATACAAATATGTTTTACTGTATACATGTATGTACAAGTATTTGAGCTAAATCACTCGAAGCAAATGCTATTGGACAATTCAAAGTTCTTTTTCTGGAAAATGTTATGAACATTTTGGTCAGAACACTTGGTAAACATTTTCTGGACTCATGATCACCTGACTTCTGCAGTTATTACGTCTCATTGTACGCAATATATGTATCCATTAAAGTTAAAACTCGTATAAAACATATACTGTATTCCACATGTTGCAAAACTGCACAAATCTTCATTTTTAAGTTTTCAAGAAAGTAACAGATAATATTTTCAAGTTTATTGTAAATCTTTTTCTTAAATAAAATAAACTTGAACATCAAAATGGAATTCTACTTGGTTAAAATGTAAGTTCAAAATCACAACAGCCTATACATGTAGGCAAGTTCTGAAACAACTATTAGTGTATTGCCATTATTTTAATACAAAAATGCAATTCCATGTTTATTTACAATTTGTCTTTTTCCCCAGAAGTTTTCATAGTACACATTTTGATTATACAAGTAATTTTCTGGAAAGCAAACTCCATTTTCATTACGTCATTTATATGATTGATTCCTTGATGAAGTCCGATCAAAATTACCAGAATTCACAGTTGGTCGTTTGGCTGTTATCCACTCATAGAATGATTCACAGGAATTTCTCTCTCTCTACTTCATTCCCTTACAGACCACATACACAAGCTATACTTACCTTTTCAAATGTACTATGACTCATCAAAAAGAACATTACATTCATTCAGTAAACCCTTACACCTCACTCATCCACGGCATCCATTGACATCCCTTCCTCTCCCTCCTCTGCATCTTCAGCCATTACTATTTTCCTTTCATCTGACTCAGTTCTGGACTCTGGCAGCTGGATGTCTGCCACGCTAGTTGATTTAACATCCTCCTTTTTCGGCTCGGGAGGTTTGACCTCCGACTCACCTTTAGTGGTCACTTCTTCCGTTTCCTCCATTTCAGGATCATCATAATTAATCTTCACTTCTCTAGGAACATCATCTTTCCTTGATCTATGACTGTCCCGTCTGCTGCGTCTATCATGACCCCCCTCCCCATCACTCTTTCTCCGATACTTACTGGACCCCTCATGTCTATCAGTGGATGACTTTCGTCGCTTCCTAACTCCCTCATGAGAGTCTCTTCTACGAGACTCCCCCTCATGACTTTTTCTCCTACCCTCACTACTGTCCCCACCCTTTCTAGGAGACCCCCTTTTGGATGATTCCAAGCCTTTTCTGGGACTTGGATCACTGCTCCGGTCCTTGTGACCAGAGTGACTCCTGCGTCTAAGATTCTCCCTGTTTTCTTTATCTGTTTTCTCCTTTGTTTCTTCCTCCTCATCACTCTGGTGTTCATGATCATCAGGAATGTCTTCTGCCATCAACCTCTCAATCTCTTCTTCCAGTCTCTTCTTTCTCTCCTTTATCATTTCTACAAAATATCATAAGAAGAAAAATTATTAAGTACAATATCTTCCAAAAATTTTTTTGAATTAATGATCCAATCTGATCCGAGTTTCAGATGTTATCGGTAACTAAACAGTTTTGTAGAGGGAGGGGTGTATTTAAATTATCCTGAAGTGCTCAAATAAAAAATCATGTCAGATTATATCAATCTTTAATGTATAACCAGAAAACAAATTTAAGAGCCAGTCTAAAAGATGGATACTGCTCATGGCAAATCTCACCTATACGACAAAGTTGACACAAAAAGAACATTTTCGAAATTCTGAGTGGCCTCAAATAGAGGTAATAAGAGTTCCACACACTCTGTCTAATACATGTGTACACTACTTAATGAATCAAAACTCCCAAAATGCTGTAAAATTTATTTAAGAAATAATTCCAGGTCAGAGGAATTGTTGGAGAAAATACCCTGATAGAGATTTTGCTGGCAATTAAAAACCGAGCCCGAAGGGTGAGGTTTTTATTTGCCAACAAAATCTCGAGACTGAGGGGTATATTCTCCAACAATTCCAACAACAGGGTAATTATTTCTATTCTGCTAAGGCGAATACTTAAACTTCTACATAGAGAAATGCAAAAGGTAGATTTGGGAATCATCATAAGTGTCTTATGATGTTACAATCGAATGTTATCCTCATTCATCTGTATGTCAAGCATTAGAAAAAGTGCAATTCAAACCCAAAGAAATTTTTTTCCCTGCAATTTGCATCACAATCAAAAGTTACCTCTATCCTTTTCCTTTTGATGGCAGTCAAAATTAGAGGAAACCAATTTAAAATTATTGATAATTTGTTGATGACATTTGTGATTTATTGGAGAATAATGGCCGTGGCATCTCTTTGTTAGAGTTTACATAACCAAACTTCCCAGTTTGCTAATTAAGAAGAATGATTAATTACCTTCTACTGCTTTCTTAGAATCTTCCAATTTTGAGGACAGGGTTTCATTCATGATTTTTGGCATGTAGTAAATGTGTGGCTTAGCTTTGGTGCGGAGGAAGTTGACCAACTTTTTAACTTCTTTCTCGGACTCTTCATGCTACAATTTAATGACAAAATCTGTTCAGTGAGAAATCAGATATTTATTATAAGACAATGGTCTCATGTTATAAGAATTACATTTTTTATCTTGTCATATACAAAAGATCTCAGGTTGGGGGCAATTATCCCTGTTTTTTACTGTGGAACCGTTAAAATTTGGGGGATAATTTTAGTGGATTGCTTAAATTTTACAGATTTGTGGGGATGTAATTTTGTGTATTTACTCATACCTACAAAAGGAAAGAAAGAAGTGTAGGGAGAGAGAGAGAGAGAATATGAGCAAGGGAAAAAAATCCTAAATTGAATTTCTTATAAACATGAATTAATGTCCAAAATTTACAAATGAAGGAACAATTTCATATTCTTAAAGCAGAGAATTCTTTGTGAGAAAAAAATGGGGCAGTCTATAACTACTCCTGAAAAGCATAAATATTTTGAGTAAAATATTTTCCCTACACCAGGACTCCAGAAAATTTCAGGGGTATTGTCCATAGATTTTTTTTCTTCAAAAAGAGACCATGCATAGAATTTACATATTTTAACATACAGGGGTTCTAGAATAGAAGCAATTTATTCATTATGAAATTTTTGTAGCGATTTTTATGAAATATTTCTTTATATAATCATAGAAAGTAATTTGATTTTTTATACAATCTGTAGAAGGTAATTTGATAAACTTGTCATAAGCCTTTACATAACAAGCACTTAAAGCAGCTGCAGAGCATGAGCAGAACTGAAAGTAACCCCAAAAATAATTTGGGCTTGAGATTCTGAAAATATACCATGGAAAGATATTAATTACCTACTAAAACAATACCCCCATAGAATTTATTCATTACTGTATACAGGGAAATTTTTGCCCCCGTTTTATTTTCGCCCCTTTCGCCCTACACACAAGTGGGCGAATTTAAAATGGGGCCAATTAAAAAATCACAGTATAATTTGTTAAACAGAATTGTGACTGGGCGAATTTAAAATGGGGCAAAATTGTTTGCAAGTATGAAGGGGCAAAAATAACCCTGTATACAGTAATACCCCCATGGACAGAGAATTTTTATGATGTGTGGGGATATGGTACTTTTTTTAATTTTATTGGAATAGCCCTAATTTAGTATCTTGTATAAAGAAGAATATATTTATTTTTGGGATAATGTCATAACAAAAATCACTTTAGACAGATGTACTTGAGTGAATGAAGAAAATTCATTGATCTATATACATTATTATAACAGTAACTTGATCCAAAGAGTCGTATCACGTCGAGTTGACAGGCGCGGATCATCAGATCAAACGAGACGCGAAGCGCATGAAAAATAACGTCATGTTTCTGTGTACTACGTCATCAATTTCAGAGAGGGGTGATATGGATTCAGAAAACCGGAAAGTCGGATCACACCGTCACGTGATTGTACGAAATCTACAGTAAAATTGAGTGATACACACTTGGGTATATAATAAATATACCATATCAACAAGCTCCATTTTCTGCTCCAGTCTCTGGATTTTAGCTTGCTGGTGTTTTCTCTCCTCAAACAGTTGTCTTCTCTCCTTAATGATTTCTTCTTTCTCTTGTTTAAACTTTTCTTCTAGTTTCTTTTCAATTTCTTTCCTATGTGTTTCCTGAAAGTAAAGAAATAAACATATTTAATAAATTAAAGTAAAAATACATTAATACTATTTTTTTAACAAATGAAAACCATATGCTCCACTCCTACTTAAGTTCTTTTCAGATGACCTTAATTCCCTTTTTAATGCAAAGAGAGTGGATAAAAACAAGAAATCTTTCCTCCTCATTACCCTATCTTCAGTTTCCTTGGCTTCTGTCTTAAATTTCTGTAAGGTCCCAAGAAGCAATCCAAACATTCTCTTGTTTCTTAAGATAAAAGAAATCAAAATCAAAATTGACCTTAAGTTTTCATATTTATCCTCCATAAAAAAAGCACAATAGAACACAGATTTCTTACATTTGGGAGGAGGAATAAAAGGGGAAAGTTCCTTCTTTACCTGGCAGTGCCTTTTCTGTCTGCACTTTGGCCATCAATGCTCTCTTTCCTAGATCTAGGTGTCTTAGAGGCAATTACATTCACCACCGAAGACTGAACAACTGGCTGGAAGTCAAAAAAAAATACAATTCAAAATATAAACATAAACAATATTAAAGAAAATCTAACTTAAGATCTATTTCATTCAATATGAACTTTTTTCTTAATTTTATTTGTTGATCAAGAAGACAAAGTTTTTCTCCAAACATATCATATTCTGATGTTAAAATGAAAGAGAATTATTTTTCACTACAAAAGTAGCATTAAAGATTTTCTAGTTTCCAAATCAGCAATCTGACCCAACTACTCAAAACTGTAGACCACTTTTATCAGAGCTAGAAATAATTTTTCTATGGTCAAGTAATATGTTTAATAAGTCCAATAAATCAGAGAATGTGAAAATTACAACTGACATTTGTGTTAACGGATCATGAGCAAAACTTTCAAGACAGACTCCAGTAGTTTATATATAAATGGTCCTCTGAATGGCCTGATATTCAGACTGAGTAACTGGTTCCCTTACCTTGATAAATGGTCCTCTGAATAGCCTGATATTTAGACTGAGTAACTGGTTCCCTTACCTTGATAAATGGTCCTCTGAATGGCCTGATATTCAGAATCAGTAACTGGTTCCCTTACCTTGATAAATGGTCCTCTGAATGGCCTGATATTTAGACTGAGTAACTGGTTCCCTTACCTTGATAAATGGTCCTCTGAATGGCCTGATATTCAGACTGAGTAACTGGTTCCCTTACCTTGTTGGGCATGTCCTCTTCATCACCACTGTCAGCCTTCACTCTGTCTCGTCCAGCCAAACGAGGGGGTCCTAGCCTGTTAAGCAAAACATTTGAAATTTATTTTAATCTGTGGAAATCTGTGATTTTCACAAATATGCTCAAAACTATTTTATTGCTTTCCAAGTGAAAAAAAAAATTACCAGAATTTAAAACTGGAAACAGCTACAGTGGCTGCAACGTTATTGTTGACAACTTACACGAACGACCACGTTACACGAACGATTCCGCACGATTAACGCACGATAAAATCTGTTACACAAACGATCCTTCATTCTACACATTACACGATCTTACACGATTGCTAACGCAAATGCACGATTCTTCACGCAAAATAGTTCAAATTCTTTAGGAATGGATATTTTCAAAACGAAATAAGGCTGAATACTTATTTTAGTTTGCAAATAATTATTGATATTATTTCATCAACTTTGAAAAATGAAAAAAAAAATAGAAATGGATATTTCTGGAACCAAATTCATGTAAGACTTATTAATTTTTCTAGATTACATATAACAAATAATTCTTTAAGCAATTCTCCGACTTAAGAAAACTGATTTTTTTATTCTATCAGAAGATGTACATGTAGGTGGATCGTGAGTTTTGATTGAATTGGATTTCATAATATGCAGAAAGAGATAAGTTTGAAAAAATGGCAAGAAAATGAATTAAATTATGTTATATCCATGTTTCCATTTGCGAATCTCTTAAATCAACAATTATTTTACAAAACATTTATTTGCAGAAATTATAAAAATAATTAAAATTAAGCTCCAGAGATAAACACTGAGAAACGAAATCCCGACAATCATGTCGTATACATGTACATTCGCCGACTAAATATTTATGTAAGCATTGAAAATTGTTTATTTATTTATTTGTAAAATTATCTATTTTTGATCTATTGGTTTTTAAAAATTTCTTGACCATAATTAGCAGTAAACATAATTAACATCAGAGAAAAAAATCCTTTAAACATCTAAGTACTGTTTATCACAAAAAAATCACGCTATTTGACGAGAACACAATATTGTACGACTTACTTTATTGCTTATTTCCAAGCAATAATTAGTTCTTACTGCTTTCAATTATGTAAATCACTCTTCATTTATTTTATTTGGATTGAAAAAAAAAACAGACAAGAGAAATGCTTGTATAACAAATAATATTCCGATAAAAACTTTCAAAACGAAATTTATACGTTTCTTAACGCACGATCACGCACGATTAAAACCGCAAACGATTGAGTCTGATGCATGCACGATCTCGCACGTTACACGAACAATCTTGCACGTTACACGAAGGATCACGCACGTTACCCGAACGATTCTACACGATTGGTTTGTCAACAATAATGTTGCAGCCACTGTAAGTCAGTTAAATTTAAGGGGAGATAATACATGTACTGACGATATAAGGATTTCTCTAGCTGTATATACATACTGTGATGAGTTCATTATATTATTAATTAAAATTTACCTTTAAAAAAGTTCGTCATTACCTTGAAAATGCAGTTCCAACTACTCTTCGTTTGACTGGAGGAACATAAGTTTCAATTTCTCTCCTGTAATAAATTCCAAAGTAATGTCAGGATACTTGTACTTTGAAAAATCTTCTTTTTTTAATATACGTGTACAGTAAATTGATAAAGCAAAATAATTCAATCTGCTTACAGAATAATAAACAAACCTGGCTTGGTTAAAAATTCGCTCATTACCCCTAAGTTCACCAGATGCTGATACCACACGTCTTCGAGGCCCAGGGAATTGTCTGCAAGAACAATGGTTATCATCACATGTAGAATCAGTAAACAGTTGCCTAATATATGGCTTCTCAGATTTTTCAAAAAAATTCTGGTATACCAATTAAGTTTCAAATTTAATTAAAAAAATCACTGCAAAGTAAAGCCTGTTCCAGGAGTCTCTGAGATCATTCAAAATAATACATGATGAGGACACAGGTGAGAATCTTCTGTAATCATGTTAAGCAAATCTGGTTTTCTTTGTTACTTCATTCAAGTAACTGTTTGGTTACAAATTAACTGTTGTATACAGCCCAAAAACTTTTAGAACTTGGAGTGCAAAGTATCTCAAGGAGATGCAATTTTTGGTGAGTGATTTTTACATGCATTGTTTCAGTACAAGGTTGAAAATGATCACTCCACCATGGTGCCACTTTTGTGCATGCAGAAAAAATAACACATTTAAGAAAAAAGTATGATAAAATAGCTAAATCAAGCTATTCTGAATACCTTAACAAAGGTATATAGCTAAATCAGGCTATATAGCTAAATCAAGACATTGTGCCGGACCTGTTTATTGATAAAATTACAAACTCCTGCAGTAGACATCTACCAGGTCAGACACAATCTCGAGTCCCGATGTATACAGAGTCTCGGCATTTTAGGACTTCGTAATAAACAGTCCTATTTTGTACAGATTTGTTAAGAAATGGTTTTGTGCTTTGAATTTACAACGTAATAAGCATTCTGTCTTATAAAACCATCACCGTAATAATGAGACCGCACTGTAATATTCAACCTTGAACTCTTCTGAAAATAATCAGGGTTCTCACTAGGATTTTGCTAACTTGAGTCCCAGGACTCAAGATTTCTGAGAAGGTTGCGTCCCAGCTAAATTTGATGCGTCCCAGAATAATTATGTTGAGTCCCAACTAAATTATTGCAGTATCCCTCCATCCAAACATCAATATAAATCTTTATCATTTTATCAGTTTGTTTACGCAATATTAACATATTCAAGTATATAAACTGGTAATGCATTCAAGCCATATTCTAAAATACACGCGTAATCAATTGCCATAAAAATTAACTTGGTGTTTATAAAGCTAAAATTAACTGTTGCATAATCAACTAGTACCCAAAAGTTGACTGTATACAATCATAGGTGTCATGTGCAATGAGGCGTAACTAATCCTGTCGGTCGTCTGCACTGGGTGAAATTCACGAGATAATCAAGCCGCATTGTGTATACAAGCAGTAATTATGGTTTCTACATGTAGATAACACTCAAGATTCAAAAGTGTGTGTGTTTTTTTGTTTTTTTTTTTAAAAATCTGTTACAGCTGTCGGAGTTTGGCATGCGACATTATTATGACTATGGACTAATAAACATGAAGTATCTTAATTATGATCAATCCCTGTTTAAAAAAAGAAGAGAAATAAGTACAAGAAAAGTTATTTCTTGGATGAACCTTATGATAGTTACAGGAAGGTTTCGATTAAATATTTCTTTGACAAATCCCAACATCTAAATTCCCCCGTTTTTGAAATTACCCGAATTTTCTCGCTAACGAGGACGCGTCCGATCATGAGTCCGCGGACGCATCGTTTTTAAGAACCTTGCGTCCCAAGTAATTTTGCTGCATCTAGGACGCAGATTCTTGCGTTAATGAGAACCCTGCAATGCATGTAAAAATCACTCAACAAATTGCATCTCCTTAAGAGACTTTGTACTCAAGGTTCTAAAAGTTTTGGGGCTCTATAAAGCAATTGATACAGTTACTTCTTCAATGAAATTATAAAGGAGGCAAATTATGTAGTAGTTACTGTATAAGTTTCTATTGGTTTTCTCTAGATACCCTATAGAGAGATTAAAAGGTCCCGAGAAGGCACAGCCTTTGAGTGAAAATGGAAAAGCGAAAATGGACAAACACAGCGCAATGAGCATGGATCTTGATTTTCTTGAACTGCAGCAAAAATTTGAATGGGACAATTCTATCGATGATCAAACTCTCTCACAGATAAGCCAGTTGACAGAGGATGAAGTAAACGTGTTTGATGGTATTGGGGATTTATCTCTTACTCAAACTCAAACGGATTTTAACTTGACCCAGGGGTCCTTTACACCCGAGAATGTTAAACAGCAGTTGAACCATTCTGACGATCGATTTCGAAAGTTTTACGATGACGACGATATGGAAAACCTTCTAAAGTTTACCGAGAGTAAATTAAAACTTTTAAATAAAATTTAATTGATTTTGTATGCAAATCATACAAGCCCATGGGTTATAGTGTAGATAACTCATAGTTAAAACAATAGAAAAAATGGCATCCTATGGTGCATGGTCAACAAGATAATTGATTGGTAATAATTCAGTACAACGAGAAGCAATCATATTTATCCACACCTCAATGCACACAAGGTAGCGTACAGTTACTCAAACGATGCAAATTCATCTTTTGCTTAAAAGCATTCAAATGCTGCAACGTTAGAACTATCTTTGATTTCGATTGTTGTTTTCATAGCCCATAGTACATATAAGTTAGAATAATCAGTCTAGACGAACTCCAAAAACAGCGTGAACTCCGAAAACGAAGTCTTTGGCTCCATCATGCATTGCGGCAAAATGGCGTCCGATGTAAACAAATGATGGTTTGTCGTTCACTTTCTTCAAATATACACCTGCATAATGGCTGTATTTAGTGCATTGTGACTTTATCTTAAATTTTGTTGAATGGATAATTACATTATTAAATTATTCTGTGGATATTGACTTATTTATCGCTTCAAACTCTTGCATATTAGTAAATTGGATATACGACATCGAATTCAATACTGCCGGTAAGAATTATATTCTTATTTGATTTATTGTCTCCTTGATTTTAAATTTTACGTCATTCCTACAATAAAGGTGCTTTTATTTGTTTTTGAAGACACCCAGCTTGTAATTTTTTTAATCAGAAATACGTATTTTTCACCACAGAACAGAGATATTCACAGGTTCATTTTAAGAAAACATGTTGTGACCTTAATTTCTAGAAGAGTGGTTTTTGAAGTTTTCATATTGATAGATAATAGTTTTTAAAAAGTTCTCATAATAATACATGTTCGTATGTGATAAAAAATCGGTAAATAACGATGGTAAGAACTTGCGCGTTCAATTCAGATGTCGCACACAAATAAAACACTGGAATACTAATTTATGTTTAAAATTCAGTCAAGTTTTAACAGTTACAATATATATTGTCCCATTTTGCTTACATATCCCTTTTATTATGCATATTTACTTCTCAAAACGTATCATTTTCTCTGTAAATGATCTGACTTCAAACGTGAACTTTGAAAGTAAATATCTCCTTTTTTGCAAATAAAATTAAAAATCTGACAAATACGATCTCTTCCGAAGTCTTTTATTTAGCATTTCTGAGTACTGGCATAATTGCCATACTTTCCAAAACTTTGCACGGTCAGTTTTTGTAGACCCATCATTTTTGCCGAAAAATCGCCATTTTTGTGCGTGTGCGCATGCGCGGACTCTATTTTTGGAGTCTTTTTCAGTGTCATTTTCTTACTTCCGGAAACGCTGTTTTTGGAGTTCGTCTAGACTGATAATCTAACTGTGTCTTGGGGCAAGCCCTCACCACAGTTAGAATACACCCCATATACTTGCAATGTAGCAAATCGGAGTGGATCCACTCCGAAATGATTTTGAAGAATACAAAAGGAGTTGCACTGAAAATAACTACCAAATTAATCATAACAAACCTTTTTGAGATTGTATATGCCTTTTCACCTAAAAAAAAATATTCAAAGGGGCGTCATAAAACAAAAAGTAGAACGACTGCGTATTTAATCTTAAATTAATCTAACCTTCTTTCTGTTGGATCTCTTCCAGTCAATTTCTTGATATGTTCATCTACACCTTTTAAATTTTCCCGTGCTTTTGCAATCTCACTCTGCAGAGCCGAGACACCACGCACCTCCGCCATCTTTTTTGTTGGCCACCTTGTATTAATTAAACCGTACACATACTAGGCCTACTAAGTAGAATGGATCTTTGGGGGGTTTTGTTAACCTAAGATATCATCAAAATTGTATTATCATGGTTATTGATATTAAATTATATATTTAATGCATATGTTTTTTAATTATGATATGTCATGAATTCAATATGAACCAACACGACATGTTTATGAACCACTTAATTTGACGCTGAAAAAAATTCAAGATGGCAGACGAAGTTGTTTTAGAATATCTTCACATGGAAATAGTTAGTCAATTCTATAGATCATGCGAAAAGTCTGACCAGGTACATCACAGAGTTTGAAATTATAAAATTTCTGTATGATTTTTATGAAATGAAGTATATTGCTGTGTCGATATCAGCGTAGCTGCGCTATGTAAAATATACTAGAAAGGAAATTCGAACTAAGTACAATTTGTGCTTGAAAAAGATAAGTCGATAAGATTTTTATTTATATTAAATTTGTGTAATTAGTAATGTATATTTATAAATGCAAGAGTCTTATTTTATGTCTTGCATGATCAGGGATCGAAATTAACTTTTTTGACCACTAGCAAATTTTAGCTAGTGGAATTTTTGTTTACTGGCAATATTGAACTTTCACTAGCATTTTTTCTTCATGTCATAGTAATAAACATAGGAATTATTTCATAGAAAAACTAATTTACACATTGTGAGTATTTAGGCTGTTCTATAAATACAAGATGAAATCTGAACGGATACAGGGGTGTGCAATGAAGAAATTCAAGCACTAGCCCACAGACTAGTGGCAGCAATAAAATCACTAGACCCAAGTAAAAAGTTACTACCCAGGGCTCGAAATAATTGATGACCCAGTGGTCTGGGGCCAATGAATTTTCAATTTGGGCTAGTACATTGCAGAGGGCATGTGCTCTTTGGGTCAGCATTTTTTTATGCATAATAAAATTCATTCACAGTAGGTCTAGTTAACTTCACAGGGTTGTGTGTCCCAACTTCTACTGTTTCTTGTTTTGTTAAGTTGTACTTCTAATTATCACAATATAAAAAAAATATTACTATTATTATTATGGTTTTTGGCCAGTCTTTTTAAAATCTGCTGGCCCAGTGGGACAGCGAAAGTACTAACCTGACCAGTAAAAATTTAAGGCGATAGCCCGAGTGACCAGTAAACAAAAATAATTATTTCTAGCCCTGCTACCTCAAACGTAGGGGGGAAAAGTACCAACGAACAATGAAAGAAATATAGTTTATTGTTGAAAAAGTCAGGGTCTTAACACATGCTTAAGGTCATTCTTTTTGATATTAAAGTTTAATTCTCACAAGCAAAATTGAATCGCATATAAATCTTTATGATTGAAAATAAAAAAATGAATTCATTTAAAAATAAATTATCTTCCTTTTTTCTGGTCATTACACCTAGCTCATTTAAATTGAAGCGAAATTCCTTTTTTTTTTTCATCTTAAATCATTAAATACACTGGAAATATATTTTTTGAAAATCTCATAACACTTTTCCTCTAGTTGATTGAGTGATTGTAAATAATTTTAAAATGGGATATCTATATGCATTTACTATTAACAAAGGAATGGAGGAAATTTGGATTAGGGAATAAAAATGATCGTTTTTTGGAAGTAATTAAGTAAGGTAGTACATGTACTGCAAAATGGATAAGATTATGGGGATTTACGAACTATAGGAGCATGCTACCTGGAAATTTCTCATTGTTTGGGAATTTACCGGTAATTAGTGGTGTTCCAAGCATCGATTAAAATCGAAAATCAGTCGATTGCTGGCATAATCCAAGCGCTCAATTACAAAATTTTTATTCCGATTTATCGGGTTATTTATTTTATTTTACAAGCTTTATAGATTTTAAGCTAAATATTCCAGCCGCGACTTGTCTATTAACTTATTTGTGCATCGTGAAGGTGGCAGGGGATAGTTTTTTTTTAATGCCAAACATGTGCCAAGAGGGTACACATATACATGCAGTCAATAAAAATATATACATGGGGATAGTTTCCAAGGGGCTAATTACATGTAGTTACACTTCATATGCCCACAGCTCACAAATTATGTCAACATGTAACATGCAATCTACCTATTAGAGTGCACGTGTACCGAAAATGCACTCAAGGGACTCCCAAAATTTTGGCTTGTCTTTCCTAGATTTGGGCCTCAGTTGCACCCATACAGCCCACCCCCAGTCCTGAGCAAGGAGGATAAAAAAACACCCAGTATGCTGTAAATCAATGCATGCCCTAATGAAAATTCACCAATTGATCTGGGGCCATTCACCTTCCCTCTGAGATACACCCCTTCTTCTAAGCCCTACTGCTTTCCAGCTGAATTTCCTTTGCAATGACCATGTGTCTTAGTTTCGCATTTACAACTCTGTTTTTGCTAAGCATCATATAGTGACACCTACATGTTTCACATCATTTTTTCAGCAAGCACTCTGCTACACTGCAAATGTACCCCATAATTATTCTACATGTAACTATTTTTCTACATAAAATATCACATCAAACAGGGGATATCACAGTTTTTTAAGAGATTTGATCGGGTCTTTAGTACGAAACCATCCCCTGCCACCAATGGTGCAGACAAACAGACATTGTATTCATACCCAGGTAACAACACTCATTCCCATAACAATGTCAGACTATAACAAACTAGGACTACCCAAAGTCGGACTATAAGGAAGTCGGACTATAACAAACTCGGACCATAGGATTATTTTTACAAATTAATTAAGTTATATTTATTTCGAAGACTTTTTTATGATTTCCAAAGAGTATGAAGGTATACTGACCTTAAAAATGTTGAATTGTAGTATAACGTACGTTAGTAAGTGGACTGCATATGATAATTGATAAAAGGTTATGTTGCCCTATAGTATATTTCTTATGCGTTATACTGTTATATAGGCCTTATATTAATTGACAGCTTTTCATAGAGTGTGACCAATCCATGTTCTTCTTTTGAGCTGTTCCAACCTGGATCTTGTTTGGTTCATATCCAGAACCTCTTATGTTTATGGTTCTAAGCCACCAAATTCCACAAAGATATCATAAGCACTTGCTGATGAAAACCTGGATTTCTACTTAGGCTTTTTGTTAATCTTATGGCCTCTGCACCATGAAAATGATGATTTTATGTTGATGTTAAATATTCTAATTTTGTTTGTACTTTGATAGATAATGCTGCCAAGTTCCATACATTGCAAAATCCTGTCATCCTTTGCTAATTTTGGCTTCATTGTCTCTGTCAGTGTCCCGTTTTGATCAAGATACTACCAAAATAAGTAAACAATGTAAACTGGTTAACCTCTTCAATATCATCTTCTTTGATCGTTACAGTTCCTCCTTTCTTGGTCATGACCTTCATTAAATTTGTTTTCTTGGTTTTTATCTTGAGCACTATCTTTCTCCATGTCGATCATCCAACTGTTTTGTCTCATCTCGCCTAAATTATCTATCTTTGCTGAAAATTCCTACACTTGTTTAATTTGGATTGAATCCATTTAGGGTATTTACACTGTGATTCTCCAGTAAAATCTACTTTGTGGAAAAGATGGTATAGAATCAGTCCAAAAAGAAAACATAAACCTTGTCTCTTTCAGACTCTCATTATTTTGCCATCCACTGAATGGTTGAAATAAATTGTATTTTACAAGACTCTCAATTGTAGAAGCCATATTTTGTTTGTAAAACTTTGGTATAGATATTTCTTTAGAGTCTGAGAATTTTCATTTAAGATTCATACATCATTTTTTTTTTATTTTAAGGACCAGTGTATAGCAAAGCTGGAATCTCTGGGATTTAGAATTGGTCAGAGTTTAGTGGAAAGGTAATGTCTACATGATTGTTTACATGTACTGATTAAAATGTTTTATTTTGAATTATTATTTGAAACATTTGCAATCTTGATTTGATGATGATATGCAACCAGAAAGTACTTAAATGATCATTTTTATTCAAGCTTTGGTTTTAATTTCACAGTTAGTATTATTTGTCTTATATTTTTCAAAATGTTGTTTTGTAGGTTTACTAAAGACTGCCCAAGGTTTAAGGATGAACTAGACACCATGAAGTTTATATGTAAGGACTTCTGGAATTATGTCTACAAAAAACAGATTGATAACCTAAGAACAAATCATCAGGTAGAGTAAAATATATAGGGCATTCAGTGACATTCATATTAAGTTTAAAAGGGCTTGGTCTGCAAAAAATATGTTTTTACAAAAGTCTCAAAGGGGTCTTTTTAGTCATAAGTTTGCTCCAGTTTATCTTAAGGACATACGCAATGTACCTTACCTACTGATAAGTTTTTAAGGTAATCTTAATTTAAGATTATAGTGCCATCAGACGTTCGTACACAAAAAATCAGCATGCATTACCAGGGGTTTTGAAAAGATATAAATTGATGAAAATTTTTGTATAATTCAAAGAAAAATATACAAAAATTACTAAACATACATTCTAGATGTTTTGTTTATCCAAACTTGTTTTAAAAGAAGTGTACAACAGCATATGTAGACATTAAAATGTAGCACACAGTTCCTTTAAGTATTGGAACTCTTCAACTCCAGGGAAAAAGACAATTAAGTTCAAACTATGTTGCGTATGTCCTTAAGTAAGACATTTGACATTGAGTGATGTGCCTTTGGGCATGCTATTTCACTGCTGTTAGTATTGGGACATACAGCATGGAAAGCTAAGTTGTTTCTTCATTCTTGTTGAATTAGTATAACTGCTTAATTTAAGAGTTAATGTAGATAAGGGAAGTGAGAGCATTGTCAAAAAAGTCCATAAAAGCTGTAAACAAGATTTTCAAATTCATTAAGATTATGTATGTTGCACAGCAGTATGAAATATCAATGCATAGCAAGCTAGGACAGAAATAGAGGGGTAAGGCTAATAGTAACTCTGGCCTCCAAGCTAACATACAGAAATTTGACAAAGATACATGTATTAATTAGAGTGATGGGGGAATTAAATAAGAAGCTGACAGGTGTTGGTTAATCAGTTAATCTCTATAAAGCATTGATTAGATAAACACAGATTAAATAGGATGATGTGTTAATGATTTTAGCAAAGATTAAGATATCCTGTAATCCTATAATACTATACTGTGGAATCATCATTGTTCGTGGGGGACCAGTGTTCATGGATTTCATGGGTCACCCTTACCTACGGATTTACATCCCCATGACTGTTTATTTTGTAAACATATTGATTCATTGAATCTACCATATAAATGAGTAACCCATAAAATTACGTCTCCAAAAACAAGTAAAATTTTGCTTGTCCACAAACATTAACCCCCCCCCCCCCTCCCCCAATTAAAATGATTCCATGGTATTTTTTGGTTTTTATGCACTTGTTCTTGAGCAGAAAGATTATGTTAAAGACATTTATATTAATTTCTTGTCACTATTGAGAGAAATATTGGGATAAATGGATTCATAAATTGTCTATCTAAAGTTCCAAGAAAAATTGACAAAACTGATCTTGTATAGTGATAATTATAGGCCTGGATAGCACAGGCCAAATAGGTTAAGATTTTCTACCTCTGTTGTAAGTTTGCTCTTCTCATGTCTACATGTATATCATTGTGGTCAGGACATTTCATTACAACTATAAATAAATGCCATTGCAGAGATACAAAGCACCAAATAAACAAAAATAATACTGAAGTTAATTAGAAGATAGCAGAGTCTTAATTGTTACATTACCCATCTGTTCAAAACACATTGCAGCCTTCTGAAGTAGATAGGAAGGTTTGAGTTTAATTCTCATTATTCACTAATAAGCCAGGATAAATGTAATGTTTGAGCCAGGGAATTAAAGCATTTTTAAACAAAGTTTTGTCATTTGACTTAAAAGACTAGATTGCCTGAGGACACACAGCTATATGTAAGTCAGTAGAAATCCCTGCTGTAACTTTCATTGCTGTACAGTTTGTAACACATCACATCTTTGTAACTCTTTTCATGTGTATATTAGATATCAAGATACATGTATCATTATTGATATCTTGTTTTTTAATGGAATATTATATATTATCTTTCAGTATACTTGCATGAACATTACATTCAAAATAAATTATATACTCATGGTGTTTGTAATTCCAAGTTTCTAGTTTGTGTATTATTGACTGAATCAAATTACTAGTAGTTTTAAGTACTTCTGTGAATTAATGTCATTCAGGTGACTTTTTGTAGGGTGTCTACGTTCTTCAGGATAACAGATTCCGGTTTTTGACCCAGATTTCAAACGGAAAACAGTACATGGAATCTGCACCCAAGGTTTGTGTCCAGCACTTGAATGAGTTGTCTTTCTTTTTTCAGTCAAAGTAAAGCAGAATGGAAGCCACCTCAGTGACTTTCACATACATTCTCAATTTCATCTGCAGTTGTAGTTACTGGTATTGCTAAAAAGAAAAAGAGAGAATTTTTTAGAATGATTACATGTATAGTTCCTTGTGTAGAGTACGCAAAACCCAGATTGTAATTTTGAAGGAAAAAAAATGAAGCAACTTTGTATTATAAGTTTTAATTATATAATTTTTTTTTTTTTAAAATCTGTATTGTAAATTTCTATGTGTTTTTATCAAATGATAATTTCAAAAAAATTCAGTGAGCTCTAGCTTTTATGGGATCCATAAACTTTTTATAATACTAATTATACATATTTTATCGTAACCATCATTGGCTACACCCAGGGGATAATTGTAGGGACATTTTTATAGTCATCACATCAAAATCCTGTCTGTATAGACTTTATTTTATATCAGCACAGATATATCTGTATGAGTTTTGTATTAATAGCTTGCATTTTAAGCATTTCATTAAATCCTCTCATGTGTGAAATACAGGTGAATTTGGCTCTGTAATATCCTGGTTTGTGTGCATAATTAATGTGCGAACCAAATTAACTGAAGAATTTAAGCTGTGATGTTGTGTGAAGTCACTGTGTATAATCAGTTAAACAAATTCTTGTTTGTGAGAATCCACAAAGACCTGTATGAGTAATGCAGTTGAAGGGGGAATACCCAAATACCTAAAATAGGATCATCTGTACTTGTTCTTTGATGTTTTTGAATCTTATATTTATTAAGTTTACATAAGTCTCATGATAGAAATAGGATATGTTCTCAAGAACCTGCAGAGTGGTGTAATTTTCATTTGACAGACACTGAGTATATAGGTTTTTGCAGTGAAATTTAGTCCATTTGAAGTGAAAGCATCAAGACATTACGGACCCCCAGTAATACAAGGCAATTTATGTCTAATATGAAATTGCATATTAGATGTTTGCTGAAGGAAATTTCTTTCTACATAAAAGCTCTGCTGTTTTACTCAATTTTTTTTTGAATAAATGCATTCAATCATGTTTTGATATTATCAGAAGTATTTAATAGAGCAGAAAATGATGCCAAATTTAAGCTAGAGATCTAAAAAGTCTGTACTTTTGTAAGCATGAGATAATGACTTGCTGTGAAGATACTGGTTTTTATGAGCTGGCATCATTGAACTTAGTTAGAGAAGGGTCCTGTCTTCCTGTGGCTTAAAGAATGGGGTCAAATCCTCCAAATTTAATGTTTTTAATTCAGAATTTAATGTTGAAAGTGAACATTAAATAGACAGCATTATATTGTCATAATTTATTTATATTATATTTGTCTACCATGGGTAAGCAATTCAGGCTCTAAAGTAGACCTTAATATATATATGCCAAATGTTAGATGCATTTTTTATTATGTTTTTCCTGCAACTGCTGGACATCGAGTAAATAAATTGATTATGAGGATTGATCCCAAAGTGTATAAACTAAAGCATTGCAGCAGTATGCTAAGTGTCAACATAAAGTTTTACTATAGATACACTGGTCAAATTCACTGTCAGCAGAATACATATGTTGCACCAAATCAGTGTGATATACAGTGATAAAAAGGTCAAACCCAGGCTCCATGAACTCTAGAAGGTACTCTACCAATTGAGCTATCTGGCCACTAGTGATCAAACACACATTCCTCCCTCCTTCAATTGCCTTTGCCCTCGAAGGCACACAGCCCAGATTCTTTTGTCCCTAGCAGGATTTTAATCTGCAAGTCTAGGGGTGGTCAACAGCACCAACTTGATGTGAAATAAAAGTGATACAGACCAGACCAGGATTCTAACCCAGGTCCACTGTATTTTAGAGAGTTCCTCTACCAACTGGGCTATCTGACCACCCGTACAAGACATAAATGAGCATTGTGTTTATTCCAATAAGTATTTGATATATCTGAAAGAAGTTTTCAGCAAATATTTGAAATAGGATAAAATTACTCACATATGAATGAATGATTCAAGGTTTGATAGTGTCAGTGTCATGAACTTTTTAGATCAGTGTCGCTAGCCACATTCTATTAGAATGGACACAAAACCCATGGCTCAATGCTAAATGCTTTTAGATTAGCCCTTTCAAAATGAAACGTGGACATTCCTGTCCAAAAGAGCTCGCACAGTTTCCAGTGGGGAGATTGGTCATATGGTAGCTAGCTGTAATATAAGTGTAAAAAAAATCCTATGAAAAAGTCTTCATGATTTCCAGAAAATTAACTGCATGCAAATTTGTAACAGTAATTCCATTCAGGATTATTGCTTTTTGATTTTGAAAACTACATGTATATCTGTGTAATTTGATAGAAGTAAACAAGTGTTGTTTTTTTTCCAAACAAGCCTTAAAAGTTCTTTCGCACTTGCTTGATACACTATGTGTCAATCCTGAATTTTTTGAATTTTTAAATGGGACAGTTAATAGCAGAATGTCTAATATGAAATATATTATCTGTGAAGGTGGATTGTCTCATTATGCGTTAGTGTCATTAATGTGGTTGTAATTTACGTCAATTAATGATGTTGCATCACATGTACAAAAATGTTCTCTACTTATTATATAAGAAGACAAATTATCATAAACAAAGGATTCCTGACTATCAATCATATATGCATTTAATACATGTAATTAACATTTGGTATTCAAACATGTTCCATCAAATAGCAATGCATATTTCTAGTTTTAAATATGTTTTATATATACTAAAAGTATAGTCAGTTTCTCAGTTATAATTGCACTAAAACACAGAAATCAAAGAGACTATGATTTCATTTTTAACTTGGTGAAGATCACATCTCCATGCCCATGGGTACAAAAATGTTTTCTAATTGTTATAGGAAGACAACAGTACAGTCTATATAAAAGTAATGTATCAACAGTTATAGGATGAGGTATTGTAAGAATAGTTCTATTTCGCACTCTAATAAAATTGTTTTAATGTAATGTTCAATAGTTTCAATCTCACCACATGAACAGAGTGGCATGATATTAACTGACAAACCCTCTTTGGGAGCTTTATTTGCTAGTATATTATCCTGGAAATTACACATGAAAGAAATTATAGTTAAAGCATATAATCGCCTGACAATGATGCGTAAAGTTAAATTTATACTGGGCAAAATATCCATTTTTCGTTTGTGAGACCTATACTGGAATACTCTGATATAATTTGGGATAATATACAAGACAATTTAGTAGATAAACTTGAAGGCGTACAACTTGAAGGCGTACAACTTGAAGCTGCTGGAATATTTACGGGAGGGAATAGAATGGCAGCTAGATACCTGTTATACAAAGAGACGGGATGGGAAACCCTATCAAAAAGAAGAGAAAGTCATCATTTAATTCAATTCTACAAAATATATCATAAAAAGTTACCTGTCTCTGATTATGGCAATCATAGACATAGTTACAACACTAGACAAGAAAACTCACAAGAAATTCAAACTAGAACTCACCTATAATATAATTCCTTCTTTCCCAGTACAATACGTATTTGGAATAGTACAAATCCCTGTTAACCTTGGACTTTCCGTAGGTTGTGACATTCTAGATGTTTGATAATTATTGTCAACTCAAATGGTGGTCTAGATTCTTATTGGTTAAGAAATTAATAACATCAGCAATTTTAGATTGATGAGATGACTTTAGCCCCACTTCTTTACCGTATGAAACGCTGTCCTTGGTTCCTTGCTACACTCATTGACATTTGCCCTTTTTATCCCATGTATATTTCACCCATGAATGAAAAGCTGTGTAAATTTCAGTTCGTTGTGCTATGTTATTTGACCGAATTTCAAATCAAATTTTAAAAAAATGAAAAAGTGACGATTAGACCACACACCTAGCATTGCAGTTAAAATAGTGTAAAATGGTGAGGGACCGGGGAGGGGGTATATATATATATGTGTATGCAGTATGTATAGGGCATATATGTGTGACTAGATCTTTAGATAAATATATTGAAATTTAGAACAGATTTTTAGCTCACCTCCACAAAGTCGAGATGAGCTTATGCTATACCCCCCGCGTCAGCGTTAGCGTCTGCGTCCCGGTTAAAGTTTTTGGAGCAAGTCCCATTCCCAAGTAACTATTAGCCCTACCTGGACCAAACTTGCATGGATGATGCATCTAGAGATGGACACTACCACACTTGCTTCGGATGCTGGATCTGACCTAGATTTTCCAGATGAGTGACCAGGTTAAAGTTTTTGGAGCAGGTCCATTCCCAAGTAACTATTAGTCCTACCTGGACCAAACTTGCATGGATGATGCATCTAGAGATGGACACTACCACACTTGCTTCAGATGCTGGATCTGACCTAGATTTTCCAGATGAGTGACCAGGTTAAAGTTTTTGGAGCAGGTCCATTCCCAAGTAACTATAAGCCCTACCTTGACAAAACTTGCATGGATGATGCATCTAGGGATGGACACTACCACATTTGCTTCGGATGCTGGATCTGACCTAGATTTTTCAGATGAGTGACCAGATTAAAGTTTTTGGAGCAGGTCCATTCCCAAGTAAACCAAACTTGCAAGGATATTGATCTTGGGATGTTCCCTAACTAGAAAAAAATATGATGTGAAATTTGCCTTACTTATAGATAACATTCGTCGAGGTGAGCTTCGTAATCTTTGATTACCTACGTTTTTGTGTGTGTGTGTGTGTGATGAAATTTATCAACATTAACCATTTTCAATTCAAACCATTTAAGTCTTTTCTATAACCTTTTAATATGACTCGACCTACAGGAAGCCGTTCATTGGAAATCATCACTTACACGACGGAAGCCCCACTTGAGAAGTCATAAAAAATTTCCACTTCGTAATAATTCTACCGTAGAGGTATTAAAATATTAACTTCGGGTATATTTCATATAGTGTTGGTAGCTATAGATCCCCTCTAAATAGATGCTAAATTAACTGTTTTTAGATTGGTTTGGGTACTCCCTCTCTCTCTCTCTCTCTCTCTCTCTCTCTCTCTCTCTCACACACAATTTTAAGCTCCTCCTTTATTATACCCCACGCAACAAGTTGCGTGAGGTATGTTTTTGACCCGTCCGTCAGTCAGTCAGTAAGTCAGTCAGTCCGTCAGTCCTGTTTTTTTGTCAGCTCAACTCCTCTTAAACCGCTTCACAGAATTTCGTCAAACTTTGCAGATATTTAGGACACAATGTGTAGATGTGCATATTACAAGGAAATTCCGATTCCTTTATTTTTTTGAGGAATTTTGGCACTTTTCAACTTAGATTTTTGGCCATATCTCGAATATAGAGATGAATAGTTTGTCAGCGCAACTCCTCATAAACTGCTGCAAAAAATTTCGTCAAACTTTGCAGATGTTTAGGACACAATGTGTAGATGTGCATATTACGAGGAAATTCCAATTCCATTATTTTTCTGGGAATTTCGGCACTTTTCAACTTAGAATTTTGGCCATATCTTGAATATAGAGATGAACAGTTTGTGAGCGCAACTCCTCTTAAACCGCTGCACAGAATTTGGTCAAATTTTGCAGTTATTTAGTACACAGTGTGTAGATGTGCATATTACCAGGAAATTCCGATTCTGTTATTTTTTTGAGGAATTTCGGCACTTTTCAACTTAGATTTTTGGCCATATCTTGAATATAGAGATGAACAGTTTGTTAGTGCAACTCCTCTTAACCGCTGCACAGAATTTGGTCAAACTTTGCAGATATTTAGTACACAGTGTGTAGATGTTCATATTACCAGGAAATTCCGATTCCGTTATTTTGGCCCTAAGAGTTTTGCCTATTATTGAAGAAACTTTCCAGCTAGGTAATGAGGAAATCCACTGGAATCAGCTTTTGTAATGAAATTTTATGTAAAATATTTTATGACCTTAAAAGACCCCTATTGATTTTGAGATCAAAAAATTAATGATTTAACATACACAGACACACACAATCTTGGATAGTTCTCAACAACCCCCCCCCCCCCCCCCCCCTCAAATTGGTGCTTTGCCTTAGATAATTTCATAAGTACAGCATATAAACAAATTCATATGACTACATCATAATAATTTTGTTTCCATCAATTATTTAAATGTGTAAATTGTCATGTGTTGGACATGGACTTACACTCATTAACAAATCAAAATCACTGAGGAATTTAAATAACAGTTTGTCAGCATAACTCCTGCACTGAATTTCCTGAAACTTTGTAGGTATTTCAGACATGATGTACCTGTGTAGATTTGTATATTACCAAGAAATTTTGATTCCATTATTTATCTAGAAACTTCAGCCCAATTAAATTTGTAACATACAAAGATTTGAATGTCCTTATATGTAAGAAGTTTTGATGTGATGATTTTTTGCAAGTATTAAATGCCCCTTTTTAGCTCACCTCAATGAAGTTAGGGGGAGCTTATGTAATACCCTCGGCATCTGCGTCTCAGGTTAAGGTTTTTGGAGCAGTTTTCTTTTCAAGTATTTCTATGGCCTATATTAGTAAGAGATGCATGGAGGATGCTTCTAGTGTGTTTTATTGTACCAGTCAAGGTTTCAGATGCTGCAATTTCATCTAAAGAATAACCAGGTTAATGTTTTTGGAGCAGGTTAAAGATTTTGGAGCAGGTTAAAGTTTTTGGAGCAGGTCTCATTTCCAAGTAACTATAAGCCCTATATTGACCAAACTTGCATGGATGATACATCTAAGGATGCACACTACTGGACTTGCTTCTGATGCTGAATCTGACCTATATTTTATGGATGAGTGACCAGGTTAAAGTTTTTGGAGCAGATGTCATTTCCAAGTAACTATAAGCCCTATATTGACTAAACTTGCATGGATGATACATCTAAGGATGCACACTTCTGGACTTGCTTCGGATGCGCGATTTGACTTACATTTTCTGGATAGTGACTAGGTTAAAGTTTTTGGAGCAGATGTCATTTCCAAGTAACTATAAACCCTATATTTACCAAACTTGCATGGATGATACATCTAAGGATTCACACTACTGGACTTGCTTCGGATGCTGGATCTGACCTACATTTTCTGGATGAGTGACTAGGTTAAAATTTTTGGAGCAGATCTCATTTCCAAGTAACTATAAGGCCTATCTGAACCAAACTTGCATGGATGATACATCAAGGGACGAACAATCTCAAAACTTGCTTCAGATGCTGGATTTGACTTGCATTTTCTGGATGAGTGACTAGTTTTAAGTTTTCAGATAAGTCTATTCCCAAGTAACTGCAAGCCCTATCAGACCAAAATTGCATAAATGTTGCATCTAAGGATGCACACTCCTAGATTATTAGTTTAGTGTGGGACTTTGCCTTACTTAAAGACAACATTCGTTGAGGTGAGCTCTGTAATCTCTGATTACCTATGTTTGAATTATACTGTGTATTTAAAATGCACTGTGCCATTCATTATGTGTTGCATTGTCAAGTTTTGGGGGAGCGTGGGGTATGTGAGCTTGCTCACTTTTTCTTTCATTTTAAAAAGCGTTGCTACTGGCCTGACTTCAATGTAACCCCTGTATTGGAAAGTATCTGTTGACCATTTATGTTTATGATCCTAATATGTTTACAGCGTAATTGCCCACACTCTAGGAACTGTTTATTGCCATTTGCCACCAAAAAAAAAAATACTTAGATTTTTTAAAATGTCATCGAAATATAAACTGCTTATGTTTGTGAACTAGACAACACGCGAAAAAAAAATTATCAACACTCCACAATTTCGTACTTTGTAAAAAATAAAATAATTCGAACTGACATAATTCTACTTGTTCGTGCTTTGTTATGAATATTGATGAGTTAGCAACCAATGAGAATCTAGGTCACCATTTGAGAGATGCTAATACGTTTTATTTCTATTAGTGAACTCTTCAAAATTAGAGGCGCGTTTGGTCGTCTGACTGGGACAGCATGGCATTGCGGATAATACAAAACATGCCAATCTCAATCCAATTTTAAATGTTAAATGTATTTGTCATTCCAATTAAAGAATAGAAGAACTAAAAGACATGTGTAAGAGAGCGAGAACCCTAAATTTATCATCCATTAATAAAAAATACAACATTTCCGAGGCATGTTTATTGTATTTAGATGTACCATACGATAAATATATACATACGATCAACAATAGATATAAATTGATATCGTTGTCATTCCTACTCTTGATGTATATAAAGTCCACAACAATAAAATATTTCATTTGCAATTTCTTAGGAATTGTTCATCAACATTCAATATATTGTTTACATGTTTATGTTACGTTTGTCCCAGAAATCCCACGAGATCTGTACATTTTCCGACTTTTTCACAAAAGAGCGCACTAAGAAGTATAACTCTTCCATAGTGGAAATAGAACGTATTGGCTTAGAATCATCAAACTTAGTCAGTTGATGCATCTTGGGTCTTTGGAGTAGGTCGACTGAAAAGTAGGTCACCATGACCTACTTTTGAAAATTTATGGCTTTAATTAAATATTTCAGGCACTAATTGGCTTAGTATCATCAAACTTTGTCAGTTGATGCATCTCGAAGTAAAACAACTGAAAAGTAGGTCACCCTGACCTGCTTTCAAAATTTTATGGCTGTATTTAATACTTTTCATGTACTATTTGGTTTAGAATCATCAAAATTTGTCAGTTGATGCATCTTGGGTTCTCAGAGTAGGTCGACTGAAAAGTAGGTCACTGTGACCTACTTTTCAAATTATATGACTATAATTAAATGTTTCGGGTACTAATTGGCATAGAATCATCAAGCTTTGACAGTTGATGCATCTTAGGTCTTTGGAGTAAGTAGACTGAAAAGTAGGTCACCATGACCTACTTTTGAAAATTTATGGTTTTAATTAAATATTTTGGGTACTAATTGGCTTAGAATCATCAAACTTTGTCAGTTGATGCATCTTGGGTTCGCAGAGTTAGTTGACTGATATGGAGGTCAGTGTGACCTATTTTCGAAATTTTATGGTTTTATTAAAGTATATCAGGTACTTATAGGCTTAGAATCATCAAACTTTGTCAGTTGATGCATCTTGGGTCCTCAAAGTATGTCATCTGAAAGTAGGTCACTGTGACCTACTTTTGAAATTTTAAGGTTATAATTTTAAAAATATTTTAGGTATTAATTGGCTTAGAATCATCAAACTTAGTTGATGCATCTTTGGTCTCTTGTATCCAGAGAATGACAAGTGATAAGTAGGTCACCATGACCTACTCTCAGGTACTAATTGGCTTAGAATCATCCTGGATTCTCAAGAGTGTTTTATCTAAAATGTAGGTCATGATGACCCACCTTTGGAATTTCAAGGCTTTATCTAAATATACAGGATAGTTAGAGGCTTCAAATAGAAGTGATAGGTTGTACAGTTTATCAGAAGAGCAATTCAAGGCCCTTGGGCCTCTTGTATTTATTACTGATGTATTTGTAACTTTGTCAATTTTGTCAATAAAATATTGTTTAAACTAAACCCTCTTTTAGTTTCTGGCCCTGCCTTGCGGAATGATACGAGGAGCCCTGTCCAATTTGGGGGTCAATTGTGTGGTGACTGCAGAAGTCAGTGCCATGCCAGCTTGTAAGTTGTCTGTTCCAAACTTTCATGTTGTAACTGTAGAAATTGATACAGGCCATTCCCTGGAGGGTTATCAAGTGAAATGTATTGAATTTTGTTTGTTTTATAAAAATTTGAAATTTATTTCAGGTAAATTCCAGATTCAAATACAAAGAGTGTGATACCAGAAAATGCGTGAATGTGCTATTTATGGAAGAGTGTGCAATAGAAAATTCAGACAATGATGCGATTATACCTGTGTACAGTTGTATTGTTATACTTTACTGTTTTTATGTAAATAAAATAAGAATTTTAGAAAGATTATGACTTTTTTTTTATTCAGAGTTGAATATAATATTTTTTTTTTACCAATGTCCAGGCAATTCATGGAATATTTTGTATATTATTGCTAGATCAGTCAGAAATTTGTTTTTATATCCAGAGGTGACTTGTAGATCTGCATTTCTCACAGCTAGTGGGCGATTTATAATAGAAATGAGAAAAATAAGAGCATTGGGTTAAAAGTGTTTCTCTTTCAAAAATAGAAGGGCTTTAAATTTTAGAGCAATTTTTTAATATTTTTTTTTTTTACCAAAGCCACAGTGCGTATGTTGAAAAGGTTTAAATGGAAGTTGATTTTTTTTTACTAAATTTTTAAAATATTTTTATTATAGAAAGTAAAGCTACAATTTAAAATAATGTGAAGAGCATGAGTTCTAATAACTTCCAATAAATTATATAAAGACACAATTAAATAATGTATAATTTTGAGGTGAAAAAATGTAGAAAGGACATCAAAACCATAAGGAAAGGTGCAATAGGATGCACTCATTGAAAGTACAACCATTTGTATGGTGTTTAGGGCAATTTTGTTTTTTGGAAAAAAAAAAAAAGAATATCAAAAGGGGAAAAATACATGCCATATTTGACAATGCTTAATTTACTAAATGGTTCCACTACAGATATATAGTAAACTATAGATATTCTTTGTGTCGGTAAAATCAGTCTTTATTGCTTTTTGTTAAAAATGATTATCATTGATTTTATGATTTTTTTTCTAAAACTGAAATTCTTTAAGTATAATTATTCAGAAAATTGTATTTTCATTTTGTCATAACTTTTACTCTGAACATGTACAGTCTTTATTGTGTTATTGTCACGTTTTTAGAAAGTCTTGATTTTATTGTATTAGTCTGGTAATGGAAGGCAACAAATGTACGATATTGATGTCTTGTGATACAAGACTCTAAACATGCATTAATGAGGGATTCTAATTATATTTATTGTATTTACATATTCATGAAATTTTCACACAATCAAGAAGACAATATCAGTGAGTGATGGTATCATTTAAGTTAATATAATGACCGTCTTATTTCTGTTGCAAAGTCAGATCAAGGTCATCCTGCTCTTCCTCGACATAAAGGATTAGAAATTACTGTTGCTAATCATTTTATGCTCACTTCTTTTTAAAACTATTATTTGTTCATATTTGTTCATCTTTTTGCATAAAAAAAGGTTATACAAGTTAAGTTCTCTCAGGTTACATTTAGGTAAATAGTTTAACCAAATGATATATTGGCTTACCCGAATTTCCTCTAATTTTCTCAATTTCTTAAGGAATATTCATTATTTTTCTATGCTTCATATATCTAATTTTTTCTTATTTTGACACATGGTTAAGAATTAAAATATACGAATACAAAATGAAACAAAAAATATAGAATGTTAAATAAGAGAGAGAAAAAAAGGTTTTATTGATTTTTTTTACTCAAATTTGGTTATAGATTGAAATCTTACAAAGACTAATAAATTGTAGTTTGTTTGGAAAATCTTATTTATACATGTATAATATATTCTAAAACTTAGGTCCCTAATTATACATCTCATTAATTCAGAAAATCATTTAAGACTGTGATTGTTAAGGACCCTCTCTATACACCAGTGCAAATATTTTTTTTTTTTGTTTTTGTTTTTGTTTGGACATGGAGAAAATAAAATTGTATATAGGTGTGGAGTTTGAGCTTATCTATATAATTTTCAATATATGGTATGTAACATTTACCCCCCAGGAAAACTGTTCAAAGTCAACAAAATATCAATGAACAGAAACCACTGTCATTTTTACTTCAGTGGATAAAATATATGCAAATGAAATGTTCGGTTAATTTATCTTGGCCTTTTAAAATGTTAAAAATATTTGAATTCAAGTTAAAAAAAAATACACTGTAGATTTCAATTTATTTGAATTTAGATATATATATAGATTTTTTTCAGCATAACATCGTGAATAAACAAGCTTCATTTTCGTTTGCTTTCATTTCCGAGTTACATGTATTAGCACCTGAATTCACATCGCCCTATGTTTTATTTATAGTAACAATTACTGTCTTTAGGTCACCTGAGTAAACTCAGGTTACCTAATGCTATCTGTTTTCGTCCGTCATCGTGCGACGTGCGTTAACATTTAAACATTTTCAACTTCTTCTCTGGAACCACTGAACCAATTTCAACCAATTTTGGTATAAAGCATCTGTGGGTGAAGTGGATTAAAAATTATTAAATTCATGGACCCTGCCCCTCTAGGGCCTGAGGGGTGGGGCTAAAACCATCAAAATTAATGCAATCTTTAAAAATCTTCTTCTTTACTCCTGGGCATCAAGCAGTCAAACTGTTGGCATGATTGTTATGAGCATTGAGCCCTCTACCAAAATTCTGAAAGTCCTTAGTTGAGCAATTTGTAATGACAGATCGTAGAGTTACGGTTAGATAAAAATGTTGAAAATCTTAACAATAAAATAATTCTTAATCCCCTTTAATTTCAATTACTTTAAACTTTAAACAGACTAGATATGATAGAGAGAAAACAATATTTGATTCCCAATGGATTCATGACACACCCGAGACGGGTTGTCATGGACACCATGCTCACAATAGGTAAAGAAATCCTAATCCAACCATTCTATTGAAGATATGGGGCATTTTATGACGAATTGGTTATTCCTATTATAAATAATATGCTGTGTGGGAAGAATTATAGCGTCCAGGAAAGTCTGGTATAAAGAAATCAACAAGTGGATAAAAATGTTTAAAATAATTTCAATTACTAGATACTAGAATGACTTAGTTGATTTGAGGATGTTCTGATTTCAGTGTCATAGATTAGGTCATGTTCTGTAATTCTCAATGTTACCTATTTTTGTTATTTTTCAGTAATTTAGTTTTTAAGCGTGCACCTGGTCATAAAATTCATGTTATCAAGGAGACCTTAGTTTAAAAAAAAATTCACTTTAATCACAATAAAGACTTTGTAAGAAGCATTTCATGCACCTCTCTGATTTGTGACAGTTACAGGCCTATCACTTAATGTATAAAATAGACATTTGTTTATCATGTGATGGTTCTTACTAGGGCCTAAGACCAAAAAAAAATCTATTAAAATTTACATAACTATTTTTAATTGCAAAAATATATGAGAGGTGATAAAGGAAGCGAAACGGATGTGCATAATGTATTTGCACGTGCATGGTCGTACTTAAAATGCAAACTTTTCTCTGATTATTCAATATGGATTTAAAGCTAGTGACAGGGACTTCTTGGTTTATATTACACAAAATTTATTCTTAACAAAGTATTACAAAGAAAGATTGCACCACAGAATTCAGTTAAAAGGTACGGCTTATTACAGTAAACAAAAAAAAAAGTTTTTAAGGAATCCATACATTTTCATAGACTTGTGTTGAAGTTATGAATAATAAGTTATATTCTGTAGAAGTAGCGTTTCAATAAAACCGAGTCACCCATTTTATGAATGGTAATATATTTAGTGTGTGTGTGTGTTACGTTATGATAGATGATGATGTCATTAGATGTATTTATGTTCTTAAAAAAATTAGATATGTCCATGGATTAGTTTAAGTAATTTTATAATTTTATATACACACTGCACTTCATACTCTTTAATAGAATCTATAGGGTCATCAGATAAAACCTCTTTTAAAAATCTTTTTATGCCTCCGGATCGAAAGATCCCGGGGGTTTATTGTTTTTGTCCTGTCTGTCTCTTTGTCTGTCTGTCTGTTGTCAACTTTGACCTAACCCATAACTATTGCGCTGTCAAGGGTAAGGCTTTACTATTTGACATGAGTGTTCATTATGACAAGACCTTTCCATTGGTACAGAAATTTTTGATCATGTGACCTCAACTGTGACCTTTGACCTACATTTGAAAAACTTTAACATTGGCCATAACTATTGCATTGTAGTCTACGTCTCACTCCAGAATTGTGTTACCATCGGGGGCATAGTGTTTCACAAACACATCTTGTTTTTAATTTTCCATTAAAGGAAGACCATGCTAGACATTTGATTCAAATTCTGTATTGGAGAAATCTGTTAAAAATCTTCTTAAGAACAGGAAGGTCAAGGTGACTCAGGTGGGTGCTGTAGCCCATGAATCTGTGATTATTTATTGCTGCTTTTTCAAAAAGTACATTGAATTTAACTACAAAGGTTAATTTATGTTTGAGACATATTCTTATTTGCATAAGATTGTTCGTTGAAGAGTTCAAATAAGAAGCATGAACTTTAATGGTATATAAATTTGTTTACGTCTGCACTCAATTTAATTTTCTTTTGAAACAGGCTGTAATATTTTTCCTCTATTTTTGAATAAATTAATTATCGGGCCTGTTCATATTTTCAGAAGATTTGCATTGTGAACTCATTAGTCGAAAAACGGACTTCATTTTCTTAAATAGGTGTTGTATTTCAAAACAATAAAAGTGAACTACACCTTTTTATTTGTGAGCCCAATTTCTGTACTGGGCGACTTAAATTTAGATGCCCTTCATTTTTATTAGAAAGGACACCAGTACCACGTTTATTTCTATTAATTTATCAAAAAATGAAATGTGTTGAGTAATTATGATATTCAATTTTTTGAGCGTAGATTGGGATGAGGAAAAAAAGAAGAAAACACAAAATTCAAAATATAAATTTGAAATCCGATGTGTCCTTTAAACATATCGACCGTAAAAAAGCTATGCATGAAATTCATTTACACTTGGCAAACATAACACGTACCATAGACAGCATTATATTTGCTGTGTTTTATAATTAAATTTTTGGCATGACATACCAGGATTTTACTACAGAGTGGTAATGTCTAAAATATAATCTATCTTTTACAAAACGATCTTCCGGCTTGAAATAACTTTCTCTCTTCAAAACTGGGGCTCGGAAAGCATCTCTTCAAACAATAATAGCATGTTTTGAGAACATATTTTTATGCCCCCGTAATCGAAGATTCGGGGGTATAT